TATGTGTGTATGTATGTATAAAAGCTTCTTTTATTGAACAAAGTTATATATAACGCACTATCAATCAGAATTGCTTGATGATGAGCCTTTTTCTTTGTCACTATCATTTTTATCATATGCACTGAAAACGTTATCTTATATTTATATATTGCAGCTTATAGATTTATTACTATGTTATTGGTTTATAAATATTATTATAATATAAATACCTGATGTCTTCATCACTACTATCATCAGGTTGCTCTGAAAGTGTCAATACAATATTCGTTAAAGTTGTATGCAATGCCGTGCTGCAAGCACGCGGTTCATTCAGGTTCATGATACACCCAGTTATAAAATCATAAAAATTAGTTAAATCACGTTTGACAATAATAAAGATCTTGATTTTATGTATTAATTGTAATAAGAATTCTTAATGATTGACTCTTAAATGTTCTTTATTCATATCTATTTATTAAATGAGAAGAGTCCTTTACAAATTATATATATTATTAGATATATTTGTTACTAAGATGTGTGAAATACTTACTCTCCAATATATCAATAACCTCATTCTGTACATCATGGCAGCGTAGAAATTGTTCTAATTGTTTTGGATCATTTAAAGTTTCCTATAACGATAACACTTTTAAATTATAACCAGTCAGAAACATGACAATTTTATTCAACAAAGAATACGTAATTTTAGAGGTTAATTTTCGTCGAAGCATACATATTATTTTTTAGGTGTTATAATTCTTTTTATTCTAGTTATAACTATTGCATATTAAAATGTGATATGATTATACTTACTTCTGGCAAGTTTAGCCAGCTTTGGAAAATACATTACTGCGTTGGCATTGCAACGATTTTGTGAATCGTCATCAAGATTAATTTGCACAGTCGAAAATGATGCAAATTGCAACGTACTACGATGCGATGTGAAGAGCAATTGGCACAAGCGCGATACTGTGAATTTCACCAAATCGGTATTGTGAAAATATTCAATATGTAGATAATACTGTTCGTGCTCTGGCTGGATGAAACAAAAGAATAAGCTAACACGCGGCGTGGCGGCGACCAGCGACAACACGGCAATATCGGAGAGAAACAAAAATGGTGTGAATGACGCGTCATGGATCTCGTTCCTGCCCGAATCCTTCGTGCAGGAAAAACATTCACTCTTGTAGGAGTGAATATTAATCGAACATCTAATCACTCCTACAGTAAGAGTGAGTTCGCTCACTCTATTTGCAATGAGTGAATGCATTCACTCCATAGGAGTAAAAATTCACTCCAAATGGAGTGGTCTATCATTCGCTCCAGTAAAGAGTGACACGATTCACTCCTAAAACTTTAGAGTGTATATCGGTTATTGACAACTTACAGTAACATACAATCGCAAAAATAGAATATTACAAAATTTAACAAAATGTACGATAATGATTATGTCTCAATAAGTTCTAAAAGAAAGAATATGAACCTAAAGGATTCCCACATTCGAAATCATCTTGATACAAAAGTAGAGGTAAACAAAATTTGTTTAATTCTGTCGTTTTGGATTTCCAAAATTGAGTCTGTATAATATTTGATATATTGTGCGAGTCACAATTTAACTTTGTTATATATGTCATTGTTTTAACAAATACATTACGAGTTTCGAAAAAATTTTTTAAAACCATAGCTATTGGAATAACGGAACCATTACATTTTACATGCTTAATAATATTTAAACTTGATTCTTCTCGATATCCAAAAGTTACAATTTTGGGGTCTATAAGATAATGTCGTTTATGTAATTCTTGAAAACATTTGTATTCAGTATTTACTTGAAGAAAGCTTGATTGAAGATATTCAAATTGTTCTTGGATTTTATCCACAGTAGGATTATTAGCAGGTTTTATAATTTCTTTCAGAGAATTCATAAAATGACCATTTAATATATTATTAAATATATCGTTATTATTTGTGTTGCCTGATTACGACTTAATTTTGGATCACCATAAAGATTAGACGCAGTTTTCAAAGCAATTTCAAAATATAATTTCTCATCTGTTATATTTTCATTTTGTGAAATATTTTCGTAAATAGTCGTAAAGTGTTCATTTTCATCACGTGCAATACTTAAATTAACTTTTGGAGTAAAGTCGTCGCTTTCACTTTTATTTTCTTCAACTATTGATTTATTATGACACTTTCTAAAATGATTTCGAAGAGAATTTATATTATTAAACATTCGATTACATAAATTTCCAGTACAAGAAAAATTAATGTCACTTACTTTATGTAGTACCTACATAAAAATGAATTCCATAGAAGGAGGTCAAAGAATATGATATTAAAAGAAAAAAGTATTTAAAAGAAGTAAATCAATTAAATCAATAAATAGATAATATTAATTTATCTACCTTACCAAATATAATACCTATTTGTTTCTACGTCCGTTATCTCGTATTGCACGGTGATAAATGATTAATAAATATTTATTTCGTAAGAAAATTTA